CAGGAACTGATGTCAGGCGGGGCGGCGCCAAGGCGGCGGTCGGGCCGGGACGCCGGCGCCCCGAGACCCCGGGGTCCCCGAGACGTCCCAGGCCCCGGCCCCCGGCCCTCGCACACCACAGAGCCTTCAGCCGGGGAACCCCTCAGCCCCTCGAGCCCGGGACCCCCGAGACGCCGCCCTCCGGCCCTTGTCAGTCCACAGAGCCTCCGGCCGTGGACCCCGGAGACCCCCTCAGCCCCCAGACCCCGGGACCCCGAACCCCCACAGACCTCGGGCCCCTCCCCTCAGCCCTCGTCAGCCCATAGACCCTCCGGCCAGGGACCCCCAAGACCCCCACAGACCCCGGGCGCCCGACCCCCGGCCCTTGTCAGCCCACGCACCCAGGTCTCCTGACCCTCCTCAGCACCCCCGAGCCCCTTCACCCCCTCCGGCCGGCAACCCCGGAGGCCCCCCCAGATCCCGGGGATCTGGAGATCCCGCCCCCGCCAGCCGGAGATCCCCTCAGCCCACAGACCCCACTCTCCCCTCCCCTTCCTTAGCCCAGAGGCCCCCGCCATGCCAGGACCCCCTCAATGCACAGGCTCTGGCTCCCCTCAGCCCAGAGAGCAGGCCCCCTGGCCTTTTGCAGCCTAGAGACCCCAGCACCCCAACTAGACCCGACCACAGACTCCGGCCCTCTGGCCCTCATTGGCCACCCGGGCCCTCCACTCCTTGATTCCTCACCCTCACCGCCCAGTCCTCAACTTTCAGGCCACTTCAGGTCCCTGGTGTCCCTCCCCACCTCCCAAATACACCTTCTTCACTTCACCTGCAGTCCCAATGCCCCTTCCGATTCTTACCCTTATCCCAGTTCTTCAGTGGGAGCACTGTGCTGAGGGCCCCAACTCCCTCAGCTATGAAACCCACCATAACAATTCCCCTTATCCCTGCACATGCTCCCTAAATTCACCATCTCTTAAAGCCACCTACACTTAGAGTTCTCAGTCTCCTACCTGTCTCACTTAATTCATTTGGTCCCCAAATAAATATATTCCCGATACATCCATTAGTCTCTCCTTTTTATTCTTTTTTAGAAAAATGTCAATATATACTCATTTTATTTTTTCACTTTTTAAAAATGGAGATACAGTTGACATATAACATTATATTCGTTTCAGATGTACAACATAATGATTCCATATATGTATGTATTGCGAAGTGATCATTTCTTTATCTTTTTATTCTTTTTATTCTTAAGACACCCCAATTCTCAACTTCAGCTCCCCAGTTTTCCCTCTTCTGTTGCTCGGGCTACCCCTCCCTCAGTCTCCTAGATCTAGTCACCCCAGCACCGATGTGAAACACTGATTCCACAGCTTATCCTAGATGGACTCCACTCCATACAAACCCAAAAGTTCCCTTCCTGTCCCTCAGTTTCCCCAGGAAAGACCCAAGATGGTGGTAGTTATTTTGTTGTTTTTATATGACTGGATAAGGGGACAAAATTATGTGTCAGGAAAAAGAAAGAGAATAACTTCTTGAGAAACCGAGGTTCCTGCATTCTATTACCACCTCAGGATCTAGGGCAAGAGTTCTTAATCCTAATGTTGATGACGATGGTAAGTGTTGAGTACTGACTAGGTGCCATGCACTGAACTCAGCCTTTTACATTCATTTGTCTCATGTATCCTCACACAACAATTCTTGTACAGATGAAGAAATTCAGGGATGGGGGTAATTTGCCTAAAATCATACAGCAAATAGTGGAGCCCAGAAACTATTTGTATCCTTTTCTGAACCAAAGATCCCTTTACATTTCTTCATACTATTCTAGGAGGCAACCCCATAGGGGCTTGGTCTAACCCTTTAGGGAAAGAAGCCAAGTCTCTAAACTCAGGGCATTTTATTAGTATTGAGTTCAGGAAAATAAGAGATAATAGTCTCCGTGGAGCTGGGCAGGGGCAGAATGACAGGTGGGGATGGAGGCTGCAGTAGCTAGACAGGTAGAGAAAAGCCTAAGAGCAGAGGACATATTACTTTGAACGAGGAAAGAAATAGTCAGATGTCCAAAGGTGTTTGAGGCAAGTAGGAGGAAAGCTGCCTTGAATGACCAGCCTAGCGGCTTTGGTGCACTGCCTTCCCGCTCCACCCAGGCCAGGGTGCCTACAGGCCCCAACCTGTCAGATGCAACTCCAACTCATGAGAATCCATTCAGCCCAAGTAGCTTTGTGATTCTTCCCTGCTGTTAAATAGCAAGCCATCTTCTGGGCAGCATCTTCTGCTGGGCACTACCTTCCTACAAGTGGCTACCCGTGGCTTTGGCACCTGACAGCTTCAATGGGTGTTTTTATCTCTTGGCTATATACCCGTGATATAATAAGGTGGTGGCATTTCTGCCATATTGTTTTCATCTTCACGCATTGTGGGGGATGGTCACATTGAACTTTTACAACATTCAGGAGGAACTTATGGTCTCATTGCTTACCAAATTCCTAAGGTCTGCATAGGTGTGTGAGTGGGTGGGAGAAGAGAGGCACATTTTAGTCTCACAACACTTCTTGCAGGGAAGGGAGGGGGCCAAGTGTGTGTGTTCATGAGCAGATAATTGCCCCATGCCCTGAGCTCAAATGTGGAATCCATCCTTGCCTGTCAAAAACAAGGCAACCAAAAAAAAAAACCAAACCAGGATGCCTATCAGTCCTGTTATTGGGAGTCATTTAAGCTCAAAACTGAAGCCCATTAATTTATTGCACAAGACTTTGCTGATCACGTGGAAAGTGCATGAGACTCTGAGGCATCAAGAATCAAAAGCCTAGATTGACTCATCCTAGGGCCTTGGGCAAATCACTCTGTTTTAGTTTCCAAATCAATGATACAGGAAAAACGACTTTTGTCTTCTTCTTTTTTAAAATATTGTCCTAACCTAAGTCTCCTACTGCTAAACTCCGTCAGATAAGGGAAGAAGTTGGGAAGAAAGGCAAGATCACAGAGAGACCATAGACCTGGCCCACCAGGTCTGCTTTGCTCTTCTTTTCAAAGATGTGTACTGCCTCAGAGAGGAAAAAGATAGGAAAACATTCTGGCAGCTTCATCCTGCCACATCCTTAAAAGGTCATTGGACAGGATTGTAAAAAAAAAAAAGTAGAGGACGGTTTAAGGGACTAATTCCTCTCTTTCCCCTCAACTCAATGCAAATATATTTGTATTTCCAGAGGAAGGAGTAAATACTTCCTTGGCCCTTAGGCTTGTGAGGCTGATCCCCATCTAAGAGGGGGAGACAGGAGGGGATGGTTGTATATAATAGTAATGGTCTGGGTTCCCACACTCCGGCACCTACAAGTGCAGACAATCTACACCTCTAGGACTGGGTAAACCAAAACAAGGTAGCTTTAATCTAGATGATTTTATTTTAAAATGTTGAACATCCAATCAGTTCCTTCCCCATTACTGTCCGGTCAGCAAGATGGGTTGGTGAAAATTGGGATATCATTCAACCTCCTAGCTCAAAAGCCTCCAACAGCTTCCTGTCATAGCATTTAGAATGACATCTATACTCTTTTCTCTGGCCTCCAAGGCCTTAGCTGATGTGATCCAGCCACTCTCCCTGACTCATCTCCTAATCTCTCTGCTGGTGTGTGCCAGCCCCCGCCTACCTTCTCTTTCTCAAGCATGCTAGTGTGTTCACATTTGAGGACTTTTGCTGGGGTGCTCTTCCCCAGTGAGGCAGAGGCCTCTAGCCATTCACCAAAATCTGCTCTCTCCATTGATAGCATTGTAGCCAGGCACAGTGCTAGGCTACATTTCCCAGCCTCCTTTACAGTAGGCACAGCTATATTGTCAAGTTCTTGCTAATGGAACGTGAACAGAAATAAAGTGACCCACTTCTAGGCTGGGCTTCTAAATGAGGGGGTATTCCTCCTTCATGCTGTTTCTTCTTCCACCAGGTAGGATAAAGCAAAGGGGATGTCAGACTTACAAGACGTAAACAACCTGGTTCCCTGAATCACTGTGTGGAGGAGAGCTGCCCATCAACCAGGAACAATTGCCTTGGACCATAACATATGCAAGATAAAAACTTTATTTTGGAATAAATTATTGAAATTTTTGGCCTCTTTTGTTCCCTCAGCCTAGCCTTACATAATACATCCCAAATCCTCATCTTGGAGGCGCCTTCTTGTCAGTCAGGTCTCAGTTTAAATGTTAGCTTCTCAGAAGACCTTTCTCCTTGATTACTCAACATGAAGTAGCCTCTAGTCCCTTCCAGCATGCCAACCTACTAAATTTTCATCATAGAATTTATTACTATTACCTGGCATTTTCTTGTTTGTTGTTATTCTTCAAAGAGACTGCTATAATGTAAGCTCCGTGGGAATATGCACCTTCGCTCAGTTCATGCAATGCTGTATTCACAGCACCAACTCGGTGTCTGGCACGTGATACTCACTGCTTATTGAATTAATATCTTCTGATTAATTTTTAATTCAATAGGGATGCAGAAAAGTTTTTAGCTGACCATACAAGTAAAAGGACAGAAAGAGAACTGGTGCCAAATATAAGGCTGTTTCTCTTTATACCTGATTTGGGCCTTTCCATTCTAGGAAGATAACGGATGAGGAATTAGGGTCAAAGTCTGTACAAACATTAGCAGAGAGGTGCTTTCTGCCAAATTATTCTTATATGTGGGTATAGTAAAAAGTACTACGTTACATGGAAGCCTGCAAACTTACTTCTTCAGAATGTCGTCTGTCTTTAAAAATCTACATTAAACTCCAAGTCAGCAGTCATCCTGGCCTAGAATCCCTAAACCTGCAAACTGGCCTCAACC